TGTCTGTAGGCAAGGACTGGCCTGTCTCCCAAGACTTTGAGAGTGTTGGGTCATCCTTTAGGATAGGTTGTAGATCCTTAATAATGCGTTGGAGGGGTTTTAGTTGGGGGCTGAAGGGGACCGCTAGTGGCGTTCTGTTATTTTCTTTATAGGCCTGTCCTGTAGTAGGTAACTTCTGGGAACTCTTCTGGCTCTATCAATCTGTTTCTTTACTTCTGCAGGTGGGTATTGTAGTTGTAAGAAAGCTTGACAGAGATCTTGTAGGTGTTTGTCTCTGTCTGAGGGGTTGGAGCTAATGCGGTTGTATCGCAGAGCTTGGCTGTAGACGATGGATGGTGTGGTGTGGTCAGGGTGAAAGCTGGAGGCATGCAGGTAGGAATAGCGGTCAGTAGGTTTCCGGTATAGGGTGGTGTTTATGTGGCCATTGTTTATTAGCCCCCCAGATGTTCTGATTTAACTTGGATTTAAACTTGGAGAGTGGTCAGTTTAGATGAGCTATTGCCAGCAGGAGAGTGAGTTTGTGGGTGTATGGGGGTGGGGGGGATGTGAGAAAACCTGGATTTATGCAGGAAATAGCCCGACTTGATTATGTAAAGAGTTGTCACTTTGGATGGGCTAGCACCAGCAGGAGAGTGAATTTGTGTGGGGGGGGTGGAGGGTGAGAAAACCTGGATTTGTGCTGGAAATGGCCCACCTGATGATCACTTTAGATAAGCTATTACCAGCAGGACAGTGGGGTGGAGGAGGTATTGTTTCATATTCTCTGTGTATATATAAAGTCTGCTGCAGTTTCCACGGTATGCATCTGATGAAGTGAGCTGTAGCTCACGAAAGCTCATGCTCAAATAAATTGGTTAGTCTCTAAGGTGCCACAAGTACTCCTTTTCTTTTTACTAAATTCCTGATTATCCTAAATGGTTTGCAAAATTCGGATTCAACTGCAACTCTTATAAAGGCAATATTCCTTCTGATCTAAGTTGAAGCAAAGGTTGAGAGCACAGCCAAGCTGTTTTCTATTTTATCATTTCTGGGTACTTCATTGGGGTAGATTTTGATTAGCCCAAACATGACCTCAGAGAGGAGTAAAGACCTCCTAATCACAGCACAACTGCATTAGGGCTGTTCACACTGTGGCTCCTAGTACCCTATGGAGTGCAGCCTTTACACTACCATTGCTTCGCATTGTGATCAAGTGGGGGCAAATCAGGGATAGGCAGAACCTTGGCTCCACTCCCCAACCTGCCACTAGATCTACCTAAACACAAAGAGGGGAAGTAAGCTACAACCTTTCCACGGCTGCAGTAATCTGCTTTCCTCAGAGAGCAAGAAGCAGAAGGGTGGAACTGTGACTCTAGGGCCATACTTTTTCCTGCTGTTCAGATGGGGGCATAGCTTCTACAGATCACTTTCACTCAGAGCTGAGCCTCGCTCTCAACTTCTTAGAGGAAAAGAAAAGGATATTTGTCTCACAAATGCAGTAATGAGGAGCCCTGTCTTCATAGAGATCATGGGTTCCTGTGACCCAACCACTGAATTTGTTATACAAATGAAGTTTGCATTTTATCCACAGTGGATGATTTCTGGCAACATGAGACTTAAAGAATTACCACTTCACTTGTTTAAAAGGTGGGAAATTGTAGCCAAATAAGCATGCAGATTGAAGTCTATGAAAGACACAATTATTTCCCATCTGCATGGTGTCTGCAAGATTATCTTACCCATATTTCTGGAATCCTAGGCGCCTATCATGCATATACAGTAATAAAGTTCCTGTTATAAGGGTCTTCTCCACAGCTTATGACCTTTAAAAAAAGAGACAGGGCAACCACAGATTTCATGAACCATTCTTGACATATTTCAGTGTGGTGGTTATCACGCAGGAATTCATCAATGAGGCAGTACCAAAGTAAATGAAAATCAGAATGCAGTAAACCAAAAGTCTCTGTTGTTTAAGATAGATAGGCAGAAAGACATGTCTATGACTTTTGTTGGTATGCATATTTTTAGAGAAAAGACAATCAGGTAGATAATGTAGTTCCTATATGTCTTCTTTTCCTTTCATTTATTAAGAGGTTTGATTCAAATACATAGATGCATAAACACAAATAATCTCTACAATGGATTTTTTTCCCCCAGAACCATTATTTGGATGAACTGGGATTTGTCTGAGTTATATTACAGTATATTATCCATATCATCCATACTGACATGTATTTTCTTTTTCTTGCATTTGATGGCATAATACAGATTAAAAGAAAAAAATAACCATGGAGTGAGAATTTTAGCAGTTACAAGTACAAATTACATTTCTGTAACATTCATCTGCCATGGGTGTATCCACACAGAAAAACCTAAAAAAGTACTAAAACAGAAGGGGGGAGGGGCAGGAGGAGAGACATGAAATTATTTAAGCTGCAACTGAATTAAAACTCTGGATCCAAATACTATCCTCCTCCCAAATTTGGAGCCATCCAACATCTAGATCTGTTATATGTAGTAGGAACACTTCTCTCAAAATAATTAAAATGAATTCATAGTGTTTTCCTGAACATTTTTGAGATTTAAAAAAAAAAATCTTAAAACCTCCTTTTTAAGTTGTTGGCACTTATTATGGTATTTAATTCTTTTTGTTTTAACTCTATCTTTGTTTTGTTACTGAACATACATTTTCTATTATTTATTTGAAGAAATGCAGTTTCTCTCTTTTGTTTCTCCACACAATATTCTCTCAGAATTCTCTAGAGTGGGCCTAACATCTTCCATTCCAAATTGTTGTCCATCCAATATGTTGTCAATATCCTCTCAAGGGCTATAGTCTGATTACACAATGGCACAAGGAGAGGGAAAGGAAGAGGAACAATTTGGTTTTGAAACATTTCCCCCTCTTACTTGCTTTCTGAATGTATCAGGGTGCTATACACATATTCTGAATGGACCTTTTGCCCTTTTAATTCAAACATGGGCCCTTTGGAACCAAGAATAAAATCTGTAGCATCACAACGTTTATATTTACTGAGGTAGAGAAACAAGTTAAAATACAAAGTTCTATTTTTGCAAACCCCTTAAATTCCTCATAGATATTGTTTTAGATTGTCATACCCATGAATTGCTCCTCTAAATTAAAGAAAAAATGAACCTTTTGCCTGTATACCAAGATAGCAAGGTAAAAACACCTTCTCTCATCTCTCTTCCATCTAAATACAGACAACAGGAAGTTGTTATAGAGGCAAATATGGCAGATTCTTCCATTTCCTCACATTAAGAGACATTTTTTAAAAATATTCACAATCATTTTAATCCTTGAGTAATTTGACTTGTAAGAAACAAAGCAAAACACTACGAAGAAAGCTTTTTAATCATTCCTAATTCCTTCCAAGGGGAAATCCATTGCCAAGGATTAGGTGCATGGTTTGCATCCGCTCTGTTTAACATACACATGTGCAGTTAAAAAGCGAGCTACATCTCCACAACTGTGCACTTGTTTTCTTGCTATTCTTTATGCTTGAATTAGGTTTTGTGCTTTTATGTCCCTCAACTGTATTGCGAATGTTCACTGAAACCTTTTTGAAAAATCATGGCTTTAAGTTTTAATGCTGCTTCTGATGTTAAGAAACTGTTCTTTCATATTTTAAATCACAGAACAACAGATTGGGTGAGAGGGCATGGGGTAAAGTTTCAATTATTCTGAGTAGAGGGGGATTTTTTGTTGTTCGTTTATTTGCTAAATACCCTAACCACATCAATAGTACAACAGATGAACCGAGTAAAAGAACTTCCTGCATTCCACACTGAGGACATATTTACACAAAGCTGAGGTGCTAGCAATATATACATAGTAAAGATTCCAGTAAGACCACACCTAGAGATATCACTCTGACTTACCTTATATGGTCACAAATGCTGAAGATATGTATACTCTAGCAAAAATTACGTATCCATAGACTACATTCTTCATTGTTTGTATTCAAATAGATTTTCTAGGCCTGATCAAGGAGACTACTGGCATGAGTAAAGGTTTGCCTTAACTTTACATTGAAAAATGGAATATAGTCCTTGCATAAGGAGCATAACATAGTAACAGAAGGCAGAAAAAGGAAAATTTCGGAGTTTAGTAATATCATAGCTCAAAGGAGTCCATTTAATTGAATCTAACATTTAAAAATGATGCCACCATATTGGGCAGGCTGCTCTTGCCTATGCTGGTGGGCAGCAAAAGTAACTTCACTCAACACATTAACTCAGGTGCATGGAGAAATCATTCTGTGATATTCACGTAGAAAAAATATATCACTCCTTGACATTATAGACCTTTTTTTGCTGCAACAAACTCCACCAAAGTGAACATATTCTGTATTAGTATAAAATAATAAAAATCTCCACTTCTGCCAAAACAAAACAAAAAAAACCCAACAGCTAAACACCCCTTATATCCTTAACACAGTGTTAGAACTCTGATGAGTGATACTTTTTGCTGAATTCTCCTCTTCTTTATATGTGAAACGGAGGAGATTTTGTATGAAAACACATACAACTCAGAACTGGTGAAGTCACTGAGCCAAGAGCAGTAAAATGGGGTTATGGTGACATTCTAGATTTATAAGACTATAGTCCTCCTTTTCCCCTCCGCACACACACACCACCACCACTACCTGACCCCACCCAAAAAAATTCCAGTCATTTTTGTTGAAGGTGACAGCAGCTGTTTATAGTAAGGGAAGAATCAGCATAGTTCAGTTACCAAAATATTCACAAAATATCACAAGGGGTTCAAAATTAAATCAATGCAAGTAATAAAATTAAAATGGGAGGTATGCACCCACAAGTATATTCTCTTTTAAAACAGAAAATTGGTCCAAATATTCTTAAAAGAAGTTGCAATAGCTCAATGAATGCACTCAACAATAATACATTTCAATCAAATTAGCTAGTTAAATGGAAACTCCACCTAATTATTCCAATGCATATTTAGTGCTTTTCTGTTTAAGAAATGAGTCACTTACCTAAAACCCCCAGCCTGTAGTTGAGGGTTACAACAATGACATTTCCATAGCTTGCTAGAATGCTCCCATCAATCATGTTGCCAGTACCCTCCATGTAAGATCCCCCATGGATGTAGACCATAACGGGTTTCTTGTTGTTCTGATCATGAATGTCTGGAAAAAAATGCAAGTAAGGAAGACACAATAAAGTAATAAAAATATTGAAACAAAATAGGTAGCTGCTTTTTCACAAAAGTGCTAGTCAAATAATTTCTTTTCCCCATATTTTCAATTTTATCTACAGCTCTTCAGTCAGCTAGCTTTCCTCTGTGCTTTTACTTACGCCACTTCAGAGTGATCTACATCAAACGCCCAGTGGGTTTAGAAGCTGAGAAATTGTTTTTGGTACTTGTTTGTCACTTCCAAGTATATTGGAATATTCTCAGAACACTGGGAAAGCACTATAGTGTGTAAGAAATTTAACTGTAAAATAAATGAGAAGCCTCAGTAGAAAATTAAATTGCACAGTAACTGGGGTCACTATTAGAATATTCTCAACATAAAATTCTAACTAATCCAGATAAACCAATACATTAAACCATAAAATGATACCATTGATCCAGTCTTCCCATTCCCTCAGCAACTGAGAGACATCTTTGTGGAAAGTATAAAGCTGAATTTCTTACTGCAATAACAGACAACATCTTAATATTAAATTAGCCAAATAAAAACTAAACATGTCAAATCATCTCCTGTTCAAACCTGTCTAGGAATTAACAAATAGGAGTAGCCCAATACTAAACATCAAGATTTTGTTCCCAAACAAAATTAAGCCTTTAGTGTCATGTAGTGCTTAATTAAAGTGACAAGGTGGATGATCTCGTTGGTAAAGAACTAGATTAAAACTCAGGAGCTCTCTGTGTTAGTCTATATCTAAACAAAAGCACATAACAGAATGATGAATATTGTACTCTGCTCAGTGAAGTACTGGAAAGCGTATTTGATGACTATTGCACAGGCTCAGATTAGCCCTTGAAATATAACAGATATTAAAATGGTTTCTATAACAATGGAACATCAAGAACTGCTCTAAAAAGCACCAAACCTTGTAAAATAATGTGTTTTATTTAATCTTCTCTTATTATCAAGTGTTACCTAAAGGCTTGATCTTACACCATTAAAGTGAAAGGGAGTTTTACTATTTGACATCAATGGGAGCGTGACTGGACCAAAATGAAGGCACTCAGTCCATCAGACTCTACTAGTCACCTATTTATATCTCAAGTGACAATATATTTTTAAAACAATGAATGAACTATTTATTCCCTCTGTTGTGGACTTTAGGATACTACTTAGCCTTAGAATAGGCATTCTGATTAATAAAACAATTATTGATCGAAATATAGTATATGTCTACCTTTCATAAGTAAGTAGAAATTGTTTTTGTTTCTTCTAACTGGTTATACAATCTGGTGTCACAAGTCATGGTACTGCCAGTTAGAAACTCATTTCTTGTATCAGTTATAAAAGAGAGGATGATATCTGGGCACTAGTAAGGCTTCTTTTAGAGTGCTCTGCACAGTTCTGGTCCCCTTACTGGAAAAAAGTATATTACAGCAATGAAGAAGGTACAATGGAGGGCAACTGATGTGATACAAGGGCCAGAGATTTGAGTTACTGTACTTTAAAAGGTTAGAGTAAATACAACAGGACTGAACTCTCACGAAAAGAGGAGATTAAGAGTGACTTCACTGTGGTGTACACAATTCTAAACACAACTATTTGAGCTGGTGTCAGATATAAGAACCCAGGAACAAGATAGGAAATAACACTTAGAAAAGGCCAGGTATAAGGAATTTGGGCTAAATTTCTGTACTCTATTACATCTACCAACTATTCTCAAACTACCAAGGGCTGTAATGTGAGCCCTAGCTCAGAGATAATTAATGTAACTAATTCAGACATTTTAAAAAATCTGATGAGCATTTAAATGAAAATGGATAGTCAGTATAACTTAAGAAGCAAGGATGAGTACAGAGAGAAATATTAGGACTTCTTTCCATGTTTAAAAGATCCTAAAAAGCTTTACTGCCAAAGAAGGAAACAAAACTATCTCATTGTAACACTTGTTATGATATTTCCTGTGAACTTTAGCATTTCCTTTCAATGAATCCAATCCAACTTTCCCGGAGGTCGTTGAAAAGATCATCACTGATTTCAATGGGAGTTGGGTCACGCTCAGATAAAATATGGCCTAGAAAACTGGCTAATTATAGGAGAAAATAGTGAAGCATCATCAATAGACTTCGTTTATTTTTGTGCCCTAGAAATAAACATATGCCAAGAAGAAAATTAAATAAAAACACCACAGATGAGTTTCAAAGCAATTTCATCCACCATATAGTTTGTGCATCTGGGGAGGGAAAGAAAAGTGGTAGAAATAGCAAGTGCTGTTTCATGAGTTTCATAAAGCAAGGTGAACTTACACATGCATGTTTTTAAATTCCATTTTCTTTTCCTATGCAAGAGTGAGGGGTGGAGGGAAGCATTTGGTTCCAAATAATATTTATGCATGTTACTCACTTCACACATACTTAGGGATAACCTTTATTCTTATCTCACAAGGGAGCTACAGTCATCTATATGCTAATTTGGGTTTTAAAAATAAAAAATAAAAATGGTTTCCAAACAAGAAGAAAATAAAGAAGCACACTGAAGTGCACTTTTGTCAACTAAGGGGTAAAAATCATGTTGAAATAATAATAATAAAAAGAAGAAGTTTATGTTCATGCATCAGGGTCGAGCTTGGGAAAAAAAATACCTTGATCTTCACCACGATCATTATTGGTTATATCATCTGCGCTTTTCTTTGTGTTGGCTCCTGGGGTCATAGTGAGGAGAATAAAGGGAAAAAAGAGAATTCAAAAACAGCAGGTTCTCAAAAATTAAAAAACAAAATATAACTACTAGCCCCCAAAAATAAAAAAAAAAATTGAAAAATGTAACACAAAAAGTGAAAATCTGTTACATTTGAAAAAAAAAAGATGCAAACTGCACATAAACATAAGATGTCAAGAAGAACAAATCCAAAATATTATTTGAAAAAATATATGTATATCTCTAGTAAATCCTGTGACAATGAAGCTATTTTGGTTAAAAGGCATTGCTGCAAAAACAAAATTAATGTGCAATTAAAAAGTAATATAAATAAAAAATATTAAATCCACCAAATTATCAGTTTTTCATAAGAAATACAGGTATTTTTATTTATATCTGTAATCTTGCAGAAATTACCACCTTTTAGTCACTATCTGAATTAACTTAATACTTGAGTCATTCTGATTATGATTTATTAAATACTTTAATGAAAATAAAATTATGTATGAGTTTTATGTAACACTTGGTCTGGATCGAGACAATCCAGAATGCCCTTTATTCTTTAAATCCAATTTCCTAGGTAAGCAAAAAGATATTAAAAACACCAAATTTGAAAAACTGAAGAAATAAATTGTGAAAGACTCGCTCCAAGCTATGGAATCAGCCCACAATTAGCCCTGACTCACATGAAAGCGCATTGAATGGCCTTTACATAATCAGAAATTAACTGAAAATAGTTACTTACCATGACAATAAAACCATCATTATTTATCATAGACTTACTTAATAATAATAAACACTCACGTGTATTCATCATATTATATATTTGTCTTGTGCTCAGGAGAAAAAAGATGCAATGGTACAGATAGTTATAAGGCCATCTCTCCCCATCCTCAATTCTGATAATGAGTCTAAATCTTGTCTTTAAAATGTCATATAACTATTCTGGTGCTAGGCATCTGATCATGTATTGCTAACTGTACAGTAAATAGTTCACTGTAATGTGACCAGTTATCTGCTAGAGATTAAAATAAGAATAGAAAATTCATTTCCTCTCTAAGCACAGTTAGAATTGAAATGTGGCTTTAAAGATGAGTGATTAATGGGCTAAATCACCAAGCTAACTGGTATATGTCTTTATTGTCTTTACTGGGAAGTATATTTTCTGTTCAGATTGAAGTGGAGCTACATACTTTTTTATACAGGCAAAACATATATCTCACAATGAAACATATGGTAGGATCTGCTATAACAATATGTTTTCTTTTACAATTTATGCTGATTCCATAGTTGGCTCAATCCTCCTCCTATTGTATTCAGTAGCAAAACTCTTACTGACTTGACTGAGTTCAGGATAAGGGCCTATTCTCTGTAAATCTCACTTGGTAACTTTAGTTTCCATATTGACATTAAATTACTTAAATATTTTGATGTACTCACAGGTTTGTGTTCAAAAAGCTTTAAATGAATGGAGTTGAACAAAAAAAATCAGTCTATTGTGTTCTGAATTTTTAACAAGTCTCAATTTTCCATAGAAAATTGTCACTTTATTTTTCTTCTACTTTTCTATTTAAAACTAAATTAGAAAAAACACCACTAATTAAAGGTAAAATATTCCAAGACAATACAATGGTCACTGGAAATAAGAATGGAATGTACTAAAAATATTATTAGTTCAACAAGTGGTGTTGAAATGTGTCCTGTACATCATTTTGCTTTATGCTACCATCTTGACAAGAAAGCAGTGCAGATTTTATATGTGAACATTCAAGGAGAGCTACTCACATAAGATCCCTATAGCTGGAATTTAAAGCCAGATGAATTCAAATTAGAAATAAGGCACATAAAAAAACAGTGAGGGAGATTAACCATTGGAACAAACTACTAAAGACAGTGGTGGATTCTCCATCTCTTGATGTCTTCAGATCAAGACTGGAAGCTTTTCTGGAAGATACGATTAGTCAAACACAAGTTATTGGGCTCAAAACAGGAGTAACTGGGTGAAAATTCTGTGTTACACAGGATGTCAGACTAAATGATTTGATGGTCTATTCTGGCCTTAAAATCTATGAATTTATTAGGTTGATCTTAGATGCAGAGCAGAAATTCCAGGCACCAAACAGGGATTTGTGCCACCTAGTCTCCAAAAATAGTCTGAGTAAGCTTCTGGAAAGGTGATTCAGTCAAAAGAGAGGAGTGTTGCCTTAACAAATCCCTTTCCAAATGCTACCCAAGGAAAAAAGAGATTGTGGTCAAATGTAAAAAGTTATTCCACCAGTGAGGTGGAAAAACCATGAAGCCTAAAGGTATATGGATGAATCATACATATCCACTTATACTATATCTGCTAGGGTCAAGGTTGTACACCTATAGCAGCAATCCAGTACATACTGATGTTAGGCCTCTCCTGGAGGACATTTCCTAATATACATACAACAATAGACGAAAATCATGTGTCAAATACAAATCTGCCATATTAACAACAGGAAATTGTTTTCATGTCACTAATACAAATAAAGAAATGCTACAAAACATACACCCATTAAAATGCTATCTGTACACTTGTAATGTCATATACAACCATTCAAACCATCATTCATTCTTTTGGGACCTTTGAATGTGTGTGTGTGTGGGAAACAGATGAGGCTATATTCTCCTATCATGCATATGATTGCTCACATACTATAAAAAAGGCAAGGGACATGGCCATAAGGTAATGGTGAGAAACTGCAGGTAAAAATTGTTTTGGATGCAGAACATCCTGGAATACAATCAGCTGTGGTGGTCCAGGATAACTAGTGGGATATATGAGTAATTCACATGGTACTATGTAAATAAACCTTTGATGAGAGTTTACTACATTTTTTGATACGTTCAGGGATAGTTCAGACAATGCAGCCAAAACTTCAGTTTCCAGATATTGTCAGGGAAGTTCAACCCCACCAAGGACTAGCTGAATTGTTAGAGCCGTACTGATTTCCGATTCTCACATGCTGTATGGGGTGACGTGTGTACAGTCTGTGATGACAGAGCTCTGTGATAAGAGTTTAAGTACCATGAAGGGAAGCAGGATCTCTCTACCTCTATCATAGGACACAGCTCAGGTTTCCCTTTTCTTTTAAAACAGAAAACTTCCACCTGCTGTTCCTCTAACTCACTGTATTCCCTGCTCAAATATACATATACACCAGTTCTGGACACAGTACCTATTCCCCACCCCACAGGGCAGAACACCCTTGTCCAGATGGCAGTGCATAGGGTTTGAGGCATACTAAGATAAGGTAGACAAATGCACACCAAAGCTTGGGCTTTGCAGGCTGGGAGCAGTTATCTAGACAAATGGTTTTGTGGAAGGCTTCAGCTTTGCTTTAATATGTCATAGAGATGGTAATGATTCAGCTTCTTTGACCAGATAAGAAACGTGCAAGGATATGAAAGATTTTTTTTAATTGTCTATCTGGCGTTCATTGAACTAAACAGTTAGTGCTGCCTTCTTCACATGCTCCTATGCATTCCAAGTATGCATGCAACAAGCGAATTTGGCGGTCTATCAATCATCTTAACAGGAAGATATGTTTTTTTCTCTTTTAATTCTTGATCCTGAGCCCACTAAATAATTACTTCAGTGTAACACCAATCCCTTACACAGGAAGTGATAAATAGTGGAGTGATGGTGGATTATGGTACCAGTAGAGCTAGAACTGCCTATCTGGGAGCCAGGCTCACCCTCCCTCATGTAGTAGCAACAGTCCAATGGTTGGTATTAGGGTTCTGGATCTGGAAAGCATGCAGAAAAGCAGTGAATATCAGCAGCCAGACACTCCATTTTGCCCTTTTCATTTTGTGTGTCAGTATAAGATAGTTAAATTTGATATCCCTGAATAAAATGCCTGCTGTCTATTTTGCAAAGTGGTGGTTAGCCACCTCTATTTTCAGCAGACCCTGAGAAAAGAGAATTTAGGAACTCTAAATTAGGTATGATGAGATGCAAACACACTCCAGTGCACATAACAGGACTGCAGTACATGGGGGATGTAAAGGGTATGGAATATGACTTTGCAATGTCACACATTATGCTTTTTATTCTTTACAGCCTGAAGGAGGAACCATGGACTCACCTGTGCCTCTATATAATGTAACATTATTTTCACATGTACTTACCTATTTGTTGAGTGAACAAATTGTTTCTCTTTTATTTGCTATATTTCATTCGCTGTGAGATGTTTTTATTGTTAATTAAAAGATAGTGTCTGTAGTATTTTTTTTTTGTCAGCTTAATCTACTGCATCACATACAACAACCTTGAAGTCATGGTCAAACGATTCTGACCACACTGTCTTTCCCACATTACTAAATGAGGAGGGATCCTAGATAGATCAAAGGGAATTCCAGAGTGGCTTCTGGAATGGAATCAGCTGATGACCACTGATGCACATTATTAGAAGTATTAATTTAGACAGTGCCATAAATTTACATGGCACTTCACAAACAGAATAAGAAATAATAGGGAATTGAAGTTCTGGGCTACCAGGGCCAAAATATTTATGTGAAACATGTAGTATTTTAAAACGTGCATTAAATGTGCTTCAGATAGTCTTGGTTACATTTTGGATAATATTTCTATGAAAGTTCAGGTTTCTGAAGATGTTGGGATCCTGTTCTGTACCTGACAACTGGAACAAGGTATCAATTAAGGATACATCTGACCAAATGCTGGGTGACGTCTTGGCTGGTGTTCCGGAATACATCTAAGAGGCTGAGCCAAAACCTGTTGGAATGGCTCCCAATGACTTTAGTGAGTTCTGGATCAGGAATTTTTGTCAGTCAGAAAACTTTTTTATTGTTTCTTTGGTATTTATGGTCCTTTGTCGTTGTTGTTTTTTAAATTTCCTCTTTCTGAAATGATATCACATGCTACTCCTTCAGGCACTCAGATCCTAATTCTGTATTCACTTAATTTCACTTGTCTACAAATATCTGTGGATTAGGTTCAGGTTAAATCAG